TTAGATAGTTTAGTTTGGAGTTTGTGAAGTTGTATAATACTTTTTGGTTATTATTGAAAAATAGCTATAAGGCTTTCTAGTTAATTAAGTAAGAGAAGTAAGACTATTAATGAGCATGATGTTGTAAGGACCACAAGGCAATATTTTAAGTATTGTGAATTGATTTAAAAAATTGTCTAGTAGGGCTTTCAATAGGGCTTTTGTTTTATTGCAAAATAGAGAAAGAGTTATACAAATTAGTATAATTAAAATATAAAGTTGGTGAGATAGAATGGTTGTTTGCAAGTAAGTCAGCAAGGTTATTAAAAGGGTTGTTAGAATGGGCTTGAACTTTGTAAAAGGTAAGTTGGATATTAAAAGACTTGAAAATATTAAGAAGTATATACCAAATAGACCAAGCATTGAACTTAAACTGTTTTGGAGACTAAGGTGATAAAGCTTGGAGTTTGTTGTACTTAGAAATAACAGATTGTAAGTCAGTAAAGATATTGATAGTTGAGTTGTAAGGAAGTGTAGAAATAGCTGATAGTATTGCAAGTAGTTCTGCTTTATATAAAGAGAGCCAGTTAGAAATTTGGGTAAAGAAGCTATGAGTAGGGTTCCAACCCGGGTTTAAATTTTGAACCTGTGACCCAACGGATCAAGACTGGCAACCAACTGGGTATCTGAATTAAATCAGGTCACCCGACTAAAGTTGGGTGACCCGAATATCCGCCTACCCGTATTTAAATTCAGGTGACCTGTATATCCGCCTACCCGTATTTAATTCAGGTGACCCGGATGACCCGTATATCCGCATACCCGTATTTAATTCGGGTGACCCGGGTGACCCTATATCCGCCTACCCGTATTTAATTCAGGTGACCCGCTTACCCGAATTTAATTCGGGTGGCCTGCTTACTCGAATTTAATTCGGGTGGCCCGCTTACTCGTATTTAATTCGGGTGACCCATATATCTGCCTACCCGTATTTAATTCGGGTGACCTATTACCTGAAAACCTGATTACCCGCAATTCAAATTTCTCTAGCACTAGCGCTAGTAAACGAAATTGATTTTGTTAACCAAAATTTATAAATGTAATTACAAAATTGTTGCAAGATTGTACTATTACTTTGTTACTTGACATTACATCTTTTTACATGCGTAAAAGTAATAGTGAGTAAAAACTGATATTTAAAAAAGAAAGCTTGGTCGGCAGAATTTAAACTTCGAATCATGCCTTTCAGGTTGTACTTATGAATAATAATAAATAGTAATCAGTTGTCACAAATGATAATTATTAACAATATGTAAGATTAGATGATATTGCTTATATAAATTATTACATTACCATCTTTTAATAAATTCATAACTGGAGATTGTAAACTTTCAAATTTAGACTTCGACTATTTTTGTCAGAAAAATACCGTGATTTGATTTGTCAACTAAGAATAATCCAAATTATTGACATATTTGATTATTCGAGTTCTCAGCAGGATTATTTATTATTATATACCCAAAAATTGACTATCGCTATATTTTGACAGTTGTAATAAAACAGTGGTGTCTCTATAAATTTTACTATGTAATTCTAATTAACAAAAATTAAGCACAAGACAAAAAAAAAAAAAGGATTTATAATCCTAAGTCTATATGATTATACCGGTAAGTGGCTTTCCTCCCTTCTGCGATACTATCCAACCTCAAATTTCAGTTCTATTATCTATCTTAAGCTGAAAATCGTTATGACAATTTGTTATCCATATATCCATATTGCATATAATTAGCTATATCTAATTGATACGTAGTTCAATTTTCCAGCACAAATATCAGACGCCATATGTATTATCTTTTTTTTTTTTTTGATATACGTAGTAACTATTAATCCGGTTTGAAAATAGAAAAATGCTGCATGTTACGTTTGAGAAACATCATTTGCTCGACCATATCTGGATGAAGCCTGTTACGTAATGCTGTGATAAGTAATCCTGCGTCTGAAAATAATCTTTCCAAGGGAACCGATGTTGCTGGCACTGACAGATATTTTCGAGCTAGATTTGATAACGTGAGATATACTCCAGATCTATCTTTCTATCATGCTAGTGGATTACAGCCCATTTTTTCAATAGGTTCACGAAGATAATGGTCAACTTTATTTTTATTATGAGTTTTATCATCAGGCTCTTTACTACTATATAAAGCTGCAATCAAGTCATTGTTTGTTGTGGGTTCAGAAGTTAATATACTAGTCGATTTATCAGGTCTAGCTGAAGTTTGGTCTTCCTCATTACAAAGTATTCGCACTTTATTAATTATGGTTGTCTTCAGTGTTTCGTTATTAAGAAACCTCAAATTTTTAATTCTTGGATCCAAGAATGATGCTATAAGTCCAACTTCTTCAGGAACTTCCCAGTACTCTTGGAGGGAAAGATAACTTGCAGCCTTAACTAAATCACATAATTCTTCAGAAGTAACAGAGGGCTCTATTAACCGACGATCTTTGAATCACGGATTGTGTGTATTTTTTTTAATTTCTCTATTATCTTGTCTTTTTGCTCGTCCTTGTGATACTTGTAATGGTTGACGAAGTTGTTCTGAAACTATTAGTATATCAAATTCATTTTCTATATCTAATTCATCAGAATCTTCATTATCGGTTAATTGACTTTGGCTAAAAAATAAAATATGTAGAACATATTAAATTAAATTTGGCACAAGTGAATCGACCACTAAAAGTGCAAGTCATGTGATGATAAATTAATAATCGTAATGAATTGATTAATAATCATGCATTATTATAAAAAACCTGCTTATTTTTGTTGTGTATGCGAAAAAGGTTTTATTTATTTATTACCATTACTGTATTAATTCGTATAACAAATGCACTTTCAGTGGTCGTCTAACTAATTTTATATAACAGGAAAATTAGTATTTTAACATACCTGATAACAATAGGTCCAAATAATAATTCAGCGTAATCCTCTTCAGTTTGTTCATAAGAAGGTTCAAATTTTTTAATAAGCAATCTCATTGTTGGATAAATAAGATTAAGAGTGGGATAGCTAGAGCCAGAAAATATATTGGTAGCCTCATAAAATGGTTTTAACAATAGGATAAGACTATCTAACAGTTGCTATTCATTTTCAGTTAAGTTGATTAATTTTAAATATTCGCCATCAAGTCTGTCACCTCGCTCTGATTCTGAAGGCAGCATTAAAACAAGATAATCGATCACCTTTCGTAACTCTCTAAGTCAGTCCAAGCCAGATACGAAGAGTTCCATCTTGTCGGTACATCATTAATTGTTTGGTAAACTTTTGAATATTTACATCTTTCTTGTGTATCTTTAAGTCGTTCAGATTGTTTAGGACTTTTAGAAAAAAAAATAATTAAATTTTTTGCTCTTTTAATTAGTTGTATTGCAGGTTTAAGACCTTTTAGCACACTCAATTGAAGTGTATGAGCTGAGCAAGATAATCGCAAAACATTATCCATTAAACCAATCGCTTTTTTAACATTGGCTCCGTTGTCAGTCGTAATACAAAAAATTCGGTTTGTAAGCCCTCAGTCAGTAATAACTTTGTTAAGAGAATCTTCAATAGCTTTAGCTGTATGTGGTGAGGGAAGTAACCGAATTGTTAATAAAGCCTCTTTTAATTCGAAGTTTGAATCGATCCATGTTGCCGTTACTCCAATATACCCTTGATTTGTTCTTGAACTCCATATATCTGTTGTCAAATTGACAAATCCACCGTCAGTATTTATCATACCAAATAGTTGATCACGACTCCAATCGTAGGCTTTATCGATCATTTTTTTCATGGTTTTTTCACAAGGAATATGAAACCCAGCCTCCATATAATTTAACAGTCGACGAAAAGCTTGACTACGCAAAATATGAAAAGGTTGACAATCCTCAATAATAAATTCGACCAAAAGTTGTGCTATCTTCTCTTGTCTTTGCTTACTAATAACATGCATAGCTTTGATGATTGAACCATTATTGTTTGCTTCTTCAGAGTGGCCTTTATCGATTCTATGCTTAGACCAAAGATGGCTAAGCATATTTCCTGTTGAAGAGTCATGTACATACTTAACATTTATGTTTTTTTCTTTACAGATTTGACAAACATCAAAATCGCCTTTCTCCGTTGTCTCAACTTTAAAATATTCCCACGCGATGCTAGGATTATCATGTTTTTTTCGCTTTTTTGTTTTATGTGCAAGTGATTCAGCAGGTCTAGATTGCTCCTCATCTATAGAATATATATCATCATAATCTTTCATATAGTTGGGTGTTGAAGCGCTCATTCTGGTATATACACTTAGAATTAGTTTTGTAACATTTTTAATACTTAATTTTTTGCATGTTAATTTTGAAAATCTTACCTATTTATTGAAAACTGCAGTATACGTTAAACCTTTACAATTATTTAGCACAACAAGCAGCCTTTGTATTGATTCACTGATGAACGGTAACTAAAGCGTGACTATGATTATTACAATGTTCAGAGTATAACCCAGGTAGCGTTGATAAGTGAATAACTGGTGTACAATTTTGACAAAAAGTATAGTTTTTCAAAAAAAAAAACAAAAAAACCACGTCTAAATTTATACACGAAAAAGCAAGAGGTTTTTGTAAAACCTTTACCGCGATAATGAAAGATACTAAAATTCAGAAAATGATTATCATGTAACCGCGATAATGAAAGATACTAAAATTCAGAAATTGATTATCATGTAACCGCAATAATGAAGATACTAAAATTGTAACAATAATGACAAGCTTTTATATAAACTCTAATTTTAAACCGGTTGGTAATATAAATCGGTTGATTGATCTACCAACTGTTTATAAAACGGATTACCCGTATAAAGCGGGTCACCCATTATTGAGCGGGTCATCCGATTAATAAAGGGTCACCTGGAAATTATTTTAAACCGGTTTGTCAAAAAAATAACCTGGGTATCAAATTTTACGGATCAGGTTAATAGGTACACGGTTATCCGAATTATAGTTTGGAACCCTAGCTATAAGTAACTTTGTTATTATTAACTTGGACTCAGCCAACACCCAATGAATATTGGTTAGTACCAAGTTGTTTGACAAAACTATTAGTATAGAAAGTAAAATGATGTTGAGATAAGTTAGATAGTGAGATCACAGTAAGTTTTGCAAAGACATCACTATTGTGAAAGATAGTGGGAGTAAGAGAGTCAGTTATATTAATCATCAAATAGATTTATAGTATCTGTCAAAACCAATATCTTATAGATATCTGATCTTGTTAGTATTAGCATAATTAAAAATTTATTTGATTGGTTGTCGATCTTAAAATTTTTATTGGCTAATTAGAGTAAATATCTATATAAAAATACAATTGGTTATAAGAAAACTCACCAACAAATCTGATTATACTAGATTAAATTTACTAGAAGCAAGTAATATTGAAGAACTAAATTTCTTTAAAATTTTGTTAGCTATTAATTATATAAATTTATTACTTTTAAATAGAAAGTAACAAATTTGCATAATAAACTACTAATGAAATTATACTAATATTTAGTTCTTCGACATTACTTGCTTCTGGTAAATTTAATCTGGTATAATCAAATTCATTGACAAGTTTTCTTATAACTGATTATATTTTTATATAAATGTTTATTTTAATTAGCCAATAAAAATTCAATGATTGACAACTAATCAGATGGATTTTTAATTATGCTGTTAGTATCGGTTATCAGAAATAGCAGGTTATTAGTTTTAATTATAGAATAAACATGGTGGATCAGTTTTTTATTAGTTATAGCAGGTTATCAGTTTTGACAGGATCAGTTTTGGAAGAGTGTACTATATAATATAGCTTAGTTTGTGCTAAGTATTATATTCAGTATTAATAAAATATTAAAAGTTTAAATACTTATCTTAATATTTAAAAAAAAAAAATTTAAACTTGTTATTTATTGTTTATTTTTTAGCTTTTACCTATTAGCTTTTACTTATTAGTATTTAGTATTGATACTTTTTTTTTGTATTTCTTTTTTTTTTTTTGTATAGTTTTTTTTTTACTAATCTTTTTTTTTTGTTTTTTTTTGTATAAAATTTTTTTTTTATATAGCTTTTTTACTATTTTTTTGTATATCTTTTTTTATTATTGTGTAGCTTTTTTTTTACTAACTTTTTTTTTTTATATAGCTCTTTTTTCTTGTATAGCTTTTTTATTATCTTTTTTTATTGTTTTTTTTATTATATATATTATGTGGCTTTTTTTTAACTATTGTATAGCTCTTTTTTTTTTTTATAAAGTACTTTATTTTCATATAACTTTTTTTTACCTTTTTTTCTTTTTATATAACTTTTTTTTTTTTATATATAACTTATTTTTTCTTTGTATAATATATATTTATAAATATTAAATATTCAAAATATTAATAAATATAGTTTGGATTATAAACCTTTAGAGTTTTTAATTTTTAATTAATATTGTATAAAATATAGTTTTTAGATATTCAAAATTTTAATTATATAAATTATAAACTTCTAGATAATAAAAATTTTAACAAATATCATATAGATTATAAGTTTTTAGATACTTAAAATTTTAATAAGTATCATATAGATTATAAGCTTTTTTTTTTTGTTTTTTAAGTAGTTATATTACAACTTTATTATTTAAAATAGATTATACAGGTTTTATATCTATAATTTCTACTTATAGCTTAGCTGCTTTATACTAAAGAGTGGCTTACCTGGTTACTAAAAAGCACTTATATACAACTTGTCAGAGTAGAAGTAGCTTTTTTGCTTCTTCTTAATCTATCTTAGATTAAAAAAACAATACAAAAAGATAATAAAAAAGCTATACAAGAAAAAAGAGCTATATAAAAAAAAAAAGTTAGTAAA